GTTAGCAGCTGAGCACTTTAACCACTGCACCACAAGGGATCCTTATTGCATAAATTACAACAATTTATATAATCTACACTTGATGGACGTCTGGGTGTTTCCAGGTTTGGGGTATTATGAATAGTGTTGCTAGGAACATTCATGTACATGTCATTTTGTGAACATCAGAATGCATTTCTGTGGGTCATATACTTAGGAGTAAATGCTGGGTAATCGGATGTGAACTCTCAGGTTTAGTAGATACTATTACTGTTGTTGTTAGGTGCCGTTGAGACAATTTCAATTCACAGCAAAACCCATGTGACAGAACAGAACTGCCCCATAGGGTTTTCTTGGCTGTAATGGGGCACTGGTGGGGTAACGGTTAAGAGCTCAGCTGCCAACCAAAAGGTCAGCAGTTCCAATCCACCAGCCACTCTCTGAAGGCATTTTTTAGAAGGCGGAGTTCCTTAAGCATGACCCTCAGAGGTGTCTTCATACTCTGCCTTAGGGTAGGGGTAGACCTGCTTTAAAATGGCATGAGGTCTAAAGAGCCTAGGTGGAGTGCTAACCACTCACTCACTCATTCATTATTCACTGACTAAGCAGACATGTACTTGGCACTGACTCTGTTGGTATCATGTTGGGAAAAAGAGATGCTAGCTGACCAGGAGTGTCTGATTTACTGGAGGAGCTGTGAAATTAATTACTGTGTGGTGTGACCAGAGCTGGGACTGAGATAAGTCCCTCTGCAGACAGGCTTGCCTGGGGAAGTGAAGACTTCAAAGAGAAGTAAATAAACAGGTGAGCTGGGCTTTGACAGATGAAAAAAGGTCTCCCAGGTAGAGGAGGGAGCAGCATTGTGAAGGAAGGCATGAGTGATTGAAAAAGAAATGGGGTGGTTGTATCAGAGAGGGCATGGGGAGGCTGGAGGGCATCTGAGCTGGGGGAGCCAAAGGGGAGAAAGCAGAGTCTGAGACAAGGACCTGGGGCAGGTATATTATTTGGAAGGCCACCCCAGGAAGCAGGAGTGAGGGAGAAGGACAGTGAGATAGAAAAGAAGGGAAGGCTAATAGAGGGCTCATTATTGATTCCCATTGTGAGTGACTGGGAATTAAAGAACCATCTAGAGTACGCCTCAGAACTGCTCTCCCAAGATAGGAGCCCGAGGCATTTAGTAACCAACTTTCATTTCCACTGGTCATGGGATGCCTTTGGGGTTGTTAACTTTTCCCATGGAAGCTTTCTTCTGGGTTGCCCATAGAGCTTCGAGACTGAAAAAGGCCTTAAGGCGGAAAAGTGGAGTGCAGTGGTGGTGGGTGCTTGAGGTGAGACCCTGGCAGTCCACGGGAACTGTCCGCTGCAGCTGCAGCAGAAATCCGAGATGGGCCAAAGGGAGGTGGCCTGGGACACAAAAAAAATCTGTTACAGAGAATGACTCAGGTTGAGTGGGGTGTGGGGGGCGGGAGGTGGTGAGAGGGTGCAGCAAGTGAAAGAATCCAGGAAATGGAGTTAGAAAAGTAGACTGCGTTAGCGGATCCCTTGTGAAGGGTCTGATATACCAGGCTACAAAGTTTAAACTTTATTTGTCAGCCCCCGGCACATAGTACCACCAGTTGCCTTCAAGTTGACTCTCATTCGTGCTGACCCCATGTGTGTCAGAGTAACACTGTGCTCCATAGGGTTTTCAATGGCTGATATTTTGGAAGTACATCACCAGGCCTTTCTTCCAAGGTGCCTCTGGTTGGACTGGAATCTCCGACCTTTCAGTTAATAGCCAAGTGTGTTAACTGTTGCACCACCCTGGGACGGCACAAATATTTATTGAACGAATGAATGCTAATGACAGACATATGCGGGCCAGGGTCATGCAAAGCCGCTGGGTTTTGGAATCCTCCTGACTAGCTGTATAACCTTTAACCCCTCTGACCTTCCGTTTCTCCCTTTCCAAAGTGCTGACAATGATAGCTTCTTCACAGGGTTGCTGTGAGGAATTAGATGATATCAAAGATGTAAAACAACCAGAGTGTGGACTCAATAAATGTCAGCCACCTTGCCCCTGCCCCAATAATGACCCCAAGACAAGTAATAAAGCTGAACTATCCACCAACTAGAGACAATGTAGGCTGCTCCTGGGATCTATTTACAGAAGACGTATGCTGGCATTTCCAGCTATATTGGTCCTTGTGGAAAAAATTAGTGGTATTGGTAACAGCTTTCTTGTACCAAAAGGGAGTCATACCACTGCTTTAATTAAAGGGCAGAGTTGAAACTATCCTCCCAGGATGATTACAAATTCAGAAACGGATGCTTACAGTAACTTGTTGTTTTTTTTTCCTTTGTGCGTTTAAATATACACATAGAAACATCTTCCAATCGATATGCTGTTGACTGGGGTCATTCATCACTGCTGTGCTGTATTTTTTCCCCCACTCTGAAATCTTTAGAGAGGCCAAGATGCCTATGGGCTCCGTTTGATGGAAGGCCCCTTCGCTGGCAGCCTGGAGGCATGAGGAGAGCTCAGTCCTCCCCAGTGGACAAAGATGACTGTGGCAGCCTCTGGGGAGGCAGGGATAGTCTCTCCAAAGTATGAAGCTATTATGAGAGAGAAAACAGTTTGAGGAACTAGGTAAAGGACTGAGAAACCACTCAAACCAGGGAATACCCGATCAGAGTGTTTTAAAACGTAGCCATTCCCACACAGCAGTCTGGTGATTCATGCCAGCTGGACACCAAACTAAAAAAATTAAGGAAGGAAACAGTGACACTGGCAAAATGAGTAAACATGGAGTTTGGCAAGGAAGGAAATTCCAGACTTGAGAAGCCTATGTGAGAAGCACATTTGCTCTCAGTTTGAAGTGATTCACAACTGGAGAAGGTGAGCAGAACAGCAAGGTGGGATTCGTTCATCTGTTTGTCCATTCACTCATTCATTTTATTCAACAACGATTGATTACCTCCATATCACCCCTGTGCAAGAAGCAGTGATCTCTGCCCCCTAGGGATTCTGAGAGTAGAGGAAGCAAAAGGTGTCACTAATAATTGTGATAAAGTCGAACAAATGCAAAGATAAAGGCATGTGCAAGAGTGCGGACACAAAAAGAGGGGTCAGAAAAGGTTTCTCAGGATGGAGATCCATTAGCAAGGTCATAAATGGGGGCTGGAGTTCCTTAAGCAGCAGGGAGGGAGTGTGTGTGTGTGTGTGTGTGTGTGTCTGTGTGTGTATCGGGAGGGAAAACAGGAGTTCCAAGGAAGAGGAAAATGCATCTGTCCACTTGGGAAGTCTTTGGGGACAGCTTGGAGTTGGTAAGGTTAAAGCATAGGAGGATGGCAGAGAGAGCTGGGCAGAGACCAAATGTGGGAGGACCTTGTGTATCATGCAAAGGACTCCATCCTATAAGTGATGGGGAGTCCCTGAAGGATTTTGAGCAAAAGCATGGCACTGTCTCATTTATGGTTAAGAAATATCTTACTGGTAGCTTTGCAGGATGGACTGAAGGGGATTGAAAAGTAGGAGCGGGGATGGTCTGTTCCCATGGTTCAGGGGAGAGGTGAATGGCAGGGGCCTGGAGAGAAGGGGTCGCCGAGCTTAGCTCCTGTCTCCAAAGGAGAATGTGAGGGAGAGGAATTTGCAGCTGCCAAGTCCCTTAGCCCCTTCGAGTATCAATTTCTTCATCCTCAAAATGAAGGAAACATGAATCACTGATAAGGTCCCTCTCCCAGCAAGCACCAGACAATTTATCAGGGCCTCTTTGGGCAGACAGTGGGGCATCACCGAGAACCCTGAAAAAGAGGAAAGGGAAAGTGTAGTGTGGCCAGATGTGAAGGGAAAGGAGAAGTGGGGGCCCCTGCCGGCTCCCCACTGGGTGCGGGAGCCCAGGGCCTCTCACCAGCTCCTCCTTCCTTGTCTGAGGCCACAAGGAAGAGGTGGAGTGGAAGGTTCTCTTAGATGCCCACTACGGTCCTCTATAGAGTCCTTGGGTAGCTCAAACAGTTAAGCACTTGATAACTAGTCAACTAGCCCAAAGGTTGACGGTTCGAACCCACCCAGAGGCACCTCGGGAGTAAGGCCAGGCGATCTGCTTCCAACAGGTCACAGCCTTGAAAATCCCATGGAGTAGTTCTACTCAGCACGCATAGGGTCGCCATAAGTTGGAATCAGCTCGATGGCAATTAACAACAACATGGGTCCCCTCCTAGGTCTAGGCCATGGTTCCATTCAGTCAGAAGGGAGCACCCTCAGCCTTGAAGGCACGGGGCCTCCAGCAGAGCCACATGGAGCTGTCACCTTTGCCCATTTCTCTCCCGGAAAACCTCTAGTGGGCAGTGGAGAGAACGACTAAAGGGACTCAATAAACCGAGGTTTTATCTACAGTTATCGATTAAACTGCTCTGTGACCGCGGACACGTTAGTTAAAGCGCTCAACAAATCCCCGCAGAAGGCAACGCGGCGGGTTGGCAGACTGCTCCCTCCGACACCGGCACTCGCTGCCGCACCGCACTGCCTTTCCCTCATCTTTTCCTTCTGGGTCCGAGGCAACGTCCTGACTGTGGGCAAGCGAGGCTGCGGTGAGCCGGGCGGCAGGAGGTTGGCTGGGGGCCCAGAGCGCCCCGCGCGCTCCCTCACCCGGGCTCCCACCTCCCGCCGGCCGCGCGGCCCCGCGCTTGGATGCAAAGAGCCAGCGCCGGCAGCGCGCGGCGGCCAAAGCTGCGCAGCCTGACACGGCTGGAGAGGTGCGCTACAAGCTCCGGGTGTGCCCGGTGCCTCCGGGGTAGGCAGCACGCAGGCCCGCTCCGCCTTGCCTCGGCCGTCTCCCGGCTGCCCCGCAGCCCGCGCAGCTCCGAGGCGCGCCAGCTGGGCCTGGTCCGGCGCCGCAGACCCCGCCGCGGCTGTCTCGGCGCCTGAGCCCTCGGGCGCCCAGCCCAGCGGCTGGGGCTGCAAACTGCGGGCTCCCCGCGTCCTGCCCGGGGCGGGCCCAGGGCCCCCAGGCGCCCGCCTACGCTACGGGTGGCCGCTTACGTCAGGGAGGCGAAACCGAGAAGAAAGGCACGAAGGCGGAAGGGCAAAAACTTTATTTATTTCACTTTTTCGTTTCTGGGGCTGAAGTGAAGGGCAGCCGACTGCGCCAGCGCGGGCTTCCGGTACAGAGCAGAGAGCGACCTCAGCCCGCTGCGGCGCGGAGGAGCCGGGCCCGCGAGGCCAGACGGGGCGCCCGGCATGTGGGACCCGCAGGAGTTTGAGCGCCACTGGCAGGCCGAGTTCCCCGGGAAGGAGGCTCCGGTCATGCGGCTGGACTCGGTGCTGGACATAGAGCAGGAGCTGGAGCGCTGCAAACTCAACCTGAAGCGGCTGCAACAGGTGCTGGCTGAGGAGAAGTTCAAAGTCTTATACTTGCAGACCGCCCTGGCCCGGGAGAAGGAGGACCTCGGCTGCGGGCGCCTGGAAGGCGGAGACCGCGGCAGCGGGGGAACCTCCGCCGAGGAGCCGGCGCCGGCCGGGCCGGAGCGGGCGCCGCCACCACGCGAGGAGGAGGGCGCAGCGGGCAGCAGCGGAGATCCCCCGCACCCTGAGCGCCCAGACCCGGAGATGGCCGCAAAGAGCGAGTCCACTCCCTACGTGTGCCCGGACCTTCCCAACTGGCCGGGGGCGGCAGGGGAAGGCGGTGCGGTGCTCAGCTGGACCGCCGCCATCCACCAACAGATGCTCCAGCCTAGCCTCCTCTTCAGGCTCCGGGAGGATTGCGCGCCCCCAGGTCACAATGGCACCGCTCCCTGCGCTCGGGGAGAGGAGCCGGCCTTGGGGACCGGCTCGAGGCGGGGCTCCGAGGAGGGCGAGCTGGATGCCTCTGGCGCGGACGATGGGGGCGACAGCAGTGACCACGACTTCGAGATGGTGGATTTGAACGAGAAATTCGACCTCGGCCACTTGCTCATGACCCCCTACCGGTTCGGGGCCCGCGATGAGGTCGATAAGCCGGGGCGGGCGTGCTGCTCGCACCGCTGGATGCACCTAATCCCCAGGGGCCGGCGGAAACAACAGCGCCGGAGCCGGGACCTGGAGCAGCTGGAGACCGAGGGCAAGGACCGGCGGAGCTCGCCCTCCACCTCGGAGGAGCACCCCCGGCGCGGGGCCCGCGAGCATCTCCCCCCGTGGCGGCGCAAGAGGTTTCCGCGGATGCCGGAGCGGGACTCGCCCTACCACAGTTCACCCGAGACGGTCAGCGACTGCAGCCACAACAGCTCCGACCACGACGACGTCTCCTCTGCAGGTAGGCACACCCCTCTCTAGATCCCCGGCCCGCGCATCCCCGGGGCTGCTGGCCACCGCCTATACCCCTGCTTAGTTGACGGAGGCTCCTGGGAAGAAGGGGAATAAGATTTACCTGTTTACCTTGAAGCAACTTGTGGAACTTTAAAAAGATAGTGCAAAGTAATTTTGACTTGGGCGAATTTATGAACACGTGCAGTGAGCCGGGGATAAGAATAGCAGGGACTGATTGAATGGGCCACTTCACCAGACCATGGGAAGAAGCTTTCTTTTCAGGCCTCAGCCCTTCTGCTCTGACTACTGCAGATCACCCTCCACCCACACCCCCAGTCCACCCTCCACAGGGCTGCCAGATTCTTTTGCACCACACTGATCTTATCCTTTCCACAGACTTCAGTGGTTCACCATTTCCCCCAGATTCCTTGGTGGGGAAGTCTAAATCTCCGCTTCATTTTCTGAATTTATCTCACGTCTCCTCCAGCCTGCATCTTGTGCTCTGGCCAAACTGAACCAGCCTCTCACTCTGAGGAAGGTACATAATCCTCACCCCACTTTTGCTGACTCTCCTCCTTCCTAGAAGGCTGCCTCAGCATCTGTCAGCTTCCTACTAGCCTGAGCTGGAAGGGAAAGGCTTACAAGCATAGAGTTTTTGAGTTGGCTTGGTGCCTAGAGATCATGTCTAGTCCAGGGTCTTCATTTGATGAAGGAGGAAACTGAAGCTCAGAAAGATTAAATGCTTCCTATCATGTGCTGTTTCCCCCACCCTCCTGCGGACAGAGTCTCGTCTTAGTCATCTTTGAATCTTCCTGTGGTGCCCAGCACAGTGCCTTACATACAGTAGGTACCCAATGAATGTTTATTGCATGAGTGGAGGGATGCACTGAATTGAGTGTCTCCCAGCCACCCAGTCCTCATAGGTCAGGGAGTGGGAATGGGGCTGTCTTAGTCATCTAGTACTGCTATAACAAAATACAAGTGGATGGCTTTAACAAAGAGAAATTTATTTCTTCACAGTAAAGTAGGTTAAAAGTCTAAATTCAGGGTGTCAGCTCCAGGGAAAGTCTTTCTCTGTCGGCCTTCTCCTCAATGTTCCCCTGGAATAGGAGCTTCTCCACGCAGAGACCTCGGACTGAGATAGCTATGAGGCTACATGAGATGGTCTTCTGCTCCTGTTACTCTGATTTCAACAGGACTCATATCTTTAGTGTTCTCTGTCTAAAATTCCAAAAAACAGAGTATCTTAGTCACCTAGTGTTGCTATAACACAAATACCACAGTGGATGGCTTTAACAAAGAGAAATTTATTTCTTCACAGTAAAGTAGGCTGAAAGTCCAAATTCAGGGCATCAACTCCAGGGAAAGGCTTTTTCCCCCTGTCAGCCTTCTCATCAATGTTCCCCCAGACTAGGAGCTTCTCCGCACAGGGACTCCAGGTCCAAACGATACGCTCTGCTCCCGGCACTGCTTTCTTGATGGTATGAGGTCCCCCTGTCTCTCTGCTCACTTCTCTCTTTTATATCTCAAGAGATTGCCTCAGGACATAATCCAATCTTGTAGATTGAGTCTTGTCTTACTAACACAACTGTCACCCTTCCTCCCTCATTAGCATCAGAGAGGCAGGATTTACAACATATAGGAAAATCACACAATACCAGGAATCATGGCCCAGCCAAATTGATACACATATTTTTTGGTGGACATAATTCAATCCATGACAGGGGCTAAGGGTGAAAAGTGCAGGTAGGGATGTGCGGTGGCCTGTGACTGTCCCCTTGCTGCTCCCAAGGACCGTCAGGATCACCTCAACCACAGGGAAAGCATAAACTGGTGTCTCTTTGGGTCAAGCTGAGACCAGGAACTTAAGATGCCTTCTTGCTCAGTGAAGGAGGGGAAAAAAACAAAAAGCACTGATGCTGGGATTGTTCCAAAATCTCCATTATTACATTTTATCTGGGTGAGTTTGCATTTGAATGAAAAACTGTCCACTTTGCTAAAAGCACATTTGGAAGGTCCATCAAGTCATCTGTTTTGATCAATTACACTTATTCATTAGCAGAGATTGGCTGCTTTTCCCATAGGTAATATTGTTGCTGCTCATGCCAGTAACATTTTTATGTGCCCCTTTAACTTAAAGGAAGAGCCTAAAGATTTCACTCTAGTGCCAAGTTCCAAATGCCCTCAATGAAGGTTACCCAAGTGGCCCCAGCTGCTTCAGAGCTGGCTCCAATCCCATCTCTTCAGGCCCACATCAATCACCCTGCCAGGTGTGCTCAATGCACTGAATTTTCCCTAGGGAAATATGCTAGCACATAGGGCACCTTTATGCAAATTAGAAATTTGTGCTCCCTCTCGGCCAGTGAATTGCAAAACATGTTCCCTCTGGGTGGACCAATGACAAAAAGACTCTCCTTCCTCTGGACTGACAGCGCTAGCCAGGGCGTGCATCTGACACAGCTTTGACTAGTGGTGCCTGGGCTGTATTTCAGCCCTCCAACCTGGGCCCCTCTGTAGGGCAAGCTTGTATAGAGAGCCCATGCACAGCTGCTTGTAGGCGCCCTGCCTCCTCTCTCCAAAGCCTCCTCAGTGAGTGAACGCATGGGGGTGCATGCCCACATGCTCATTCATGTGCATACATGTACACATGGGCGTGCACATGTGCACACTGCCTAGCAGAACGTGCCTTGGGTCATGTGGAGTGACTAAAGGCAAGGATTTTCTCATGGTGGGTGGCAGCCTACTGAAATCAGTGTAGCAGGGAGTGATAGCATCCTGAGGCCTTCCTTGGCCAACCTGTTTAAGAATCTCAACGTCATCCTTCATACGCTCTCTCCCTTCTCTGCTTTATTTTTCTCCATAGCACTTACCAATCACCACCACAGATGCTATGATTTTACATGTGGATCTTACTCATTGTCTGTCTCTCTCCAGTAAAATGCAAGCTTCATGAGGGCAGGGATTTTTGTTTCTTTTATTCACTGACATAGCCCTAAGGCCTAGAACAGTGTCTAACACATAGTAGATGTTCCATAAATATTTGCTGACATTTTAAAAATATGGAATAGAATAGAAAACCTCACAGTGCTTTGCACATGGTAATGGTGAATATTCTTCTGTTTAAAAACTTTGTTTCAATTATATGTAAATATGTGATGTAGGTCGGTCAAAAGATTTGAAAAATGCTGATTAAGAGCATGGGCTGTGAAGTTAGATTGCTTATGTGACCTTGGGAGAAGTTATTTGAACTTTCTGTGCCTCAGTTTCTCCATCTGTAAAATGGGACTAATAAATACTGCTTATCTCATACTATTGTTATGAGGAATAAATGGCATATTATTTCCAAAAGGCTTTGAACTGATTTTGGCTCATTATTAGCTGTTATTATTATTACCACCACTATAGGTCTTTTTTCTCTGACCCTTCAAAGCTTCCCACTTCCAGATCATTCTGCATTATAGATGCTTTGGTTTTCTGTGACATGTGTTCTGTTTCTAGCATGGCTCTGGCTCTTTCTAGAATCTTCCAGGCAGCAAGGTGGGACCTGGGATAGTATAGTGCAGGTTTCCCCGCTATCCGAAAGTAGAATGTTCCTATGAAACCTTTCTTAAGCCGAAATGGCATAAAGCAAAGAAGCAATTACCACTAATTTATAAGGGAAACTTTTTCGAGCATTCCCAGACCCAAAAAATAACCTATTGAATCATACCAAATAACACATAAAACCTAAAATAACACTAACATATAGTAAAAGCAGGAGTGATATGATAAATACACAGCTTATGTAAAGTAGAAATAATGTACATACAGTTCAAAGCTATGGCAGCTTGATGCTGAGATGCCACTTATAGTTCCTGGGGAAGGAGCTTGGCGATGCCACTCTTGCTGCTCAGGGTGCATGCTGACTCTTTAATGGCTGGCTGCAAAGCAGACTCTGAAGGTTATTTCTGCTTTTCACCTTTTTTCACAAAAGGGAAACTCCCCATCAGATTTCTTTTGGTTAGCAAAAACAGGTAAAATATAGGTCTTTTGTAAAAGCAAAGTGGTGTAAAGTGAACCTTCGAAAAGCGGGGGATACCTGTAATCTTGGCTCATCGGTTCTTTATCTGGGTTGGCCCTAATGTTATTTCTGTCTCTCCACTGGCAATCACACCTGGTATCTGTATGCAGAGGTACTTAACCAAAGATCAGTTTTCTTGGGCAGTCCAAGCTTTGCATTAGTCTCAGGGTTTCAAGGAGAGGGAACCCATGAGGTCACATATAAAAAGGCCCCAGAGGTATAGGTGCTCCCTGCCTTGGGAAAGGACCGTTTTCTCTGAGATGAGAGTCAGCTCTCCAAGCCAAAATACATTTGTTTCTTTTACACACATAGTAGCAAAATCAGAGTTTAAATAAGGTAGAATGGCAGTTCTTTTTTTTCAAATTTTTACTTTTTAAGTGAAAGTTTACAATTCAAGTTAGTCTCTCATACAAAAATTTATACACACATTGCTATGTGACCCTAGTTGCTCTCCCTATACTGTGACAGCCCACTCCTCCTTTCCACCCCGGATTTCTCATGTCCATTCACCCAGCTCCTGACCCTCTCTGCCTTCTCATCTCCCCTCCAGACAGGAGCTGCCCATTTAGTCTCATGTATGTACTTGAGCTAAGAAGCACACTCTTCCCGAGTATCATTATGTCCCATAGTCCAGTCTAATCTTTGTCTGAAGAGTTGAGAATGCCAGTTCTTCAAGTGGCAGAGCCGGAATCAGCCATGGTGGGTCGTGTGTACTATGAAGTAGACGGGTCTGAGCCCTGGCTCTGCCTCTTACTAGGTGTTAGACTGTGGGCACACCACTTACCTCCCAAACTCAGTCTCTATGAGACAGGAATAACAAGAACAGCAAACACTTACTGAGGCTTACTTTGTGCCAGCTCCTGTTCTCAGCACTTGACACATATTAACTTATTTATATCACACAACAACTTTCTGAGAGAAGTATTATTATTCCTCCCATTGTACCT